GAAAACTATTACGAATTTATTTGGAATCATGCTTTTATTTGCACATTTGATTGAAGAATATTTATAGTTGGGCTGCCAATGGCACTTTATGGGACTAACACCAGTCCATTCTTTCCTACCTTTCTGAGTACNCATTCTTTCCTACCTTTCTGAGTACGTAAAAATGGGCACCATTGGCTGGGCTAGGACAAAATGTGTCCTGGGCATGGCTGAATTGGTCGATTTACACTCTTTTGAGAATGGAGCATGTGCACGGAGATCAAACTTATTCACATACTATAGAATGTGTGGCATTTTTGGGACACTTTCCAATTTCTAGAGATCCACGATTAGGGCTAAGCTTATATCCCATTCTAGGCCCTTTCATGAGAAATAACGTTCTCGGACGCAAGATCCAGAGACGGGAAAAAATTATTGAATTTAGCTGCTAGAAACTTGAAAGCCAGTGTAAGCCTTTGGGACCTGCTTGAGAGTTTATTTTTCACTAGTTTTGACCTTTTTCTGGGACGCTTTTTAAGAAGGTTGAGAAAATTTTTGGATGCTGATTTTTGGTGGTTCTCAACCTCCCAAATCGGTGAATTTTTATGTTTTCTAAATTTTCTTTCAATTTTATCCCAATAAAATAATTACAGTTCACATATTTTGTTCAAAACTAAGACCTGTTTGATGAGTCATATTTTACAAGGAAAGTGGAAAATAAATTTCATTTTCCCACTTTTTACCATGTTTGATGTGTCAAATTTTACCTGGAAGACTTTTTCCCATTTTCCCCTTACGTGATCTATTTTCCCTGAAATCCTTGAAATATTTTCTCGTCTCAGAGTTGGTAAAACATTTTCCACCAAAATCAGGAAAATCGAACCCCAAAAAATCAAACCCCAAGCTTTCCCCAAACCTTCTCTTGACGCAGGACGTCATTCGATTCGTCCTCTCACATAGCATCGATTGCTGCCGTTTTCCAGGTGAACCCAGCCGACGATCACTGTCTGCAGTTGTTTCTCACGGCGAACCCTGCGTCGCTTCCTTCGCCGTTTTGGAAGGTTAATCGGGATTCAGAAGGTTAATCCGTTTCGCGGTCAGAGGTTTTGATTTCCTTTTTTTGATTTATTTGGTAAATTTTGTGTTGATATGCATATTGGTGAGTTCTCTCTCCTTTTTGGGGGATATTGAGCTGTGGGTTTGAATGGTTAATTTATCTGAGTTTACTCTTCATTTCTCATTTCTTCAGGATATAGAATCTAGTTCAGTTGGTATAAACGATATACTTCTAAAGCGTCGTAATGGAGGTTGCTTTATCCTGGAGATATTTGTGAGTTGAAATTCCATCCTGGCTGGTTCTGTATATGGAAAAAATCATAATTTTCCATAGAAAACAAAGCCGATCAAACACCAAAAGATGAAAAATCTCAACGTTTTCTAGGTGAAAAATTATATTAATCAAACGCAACTAATTGACAATTTTCGGGAAAAAAAATTCTAGGCAAATATTTTCCTTGGAATTCATTTTCTTTTCACCCATTTTCCACCCTTACAATCAAACGCACCCTAACTTCTAAATAGAAATAAATTAAATCAAAAAAATTATTTATTAGCAAAAAATTACTTTATAACCAAATTTACTTATAAGTAAATTGAAAATATACTTGTATAAAAAATTGCTTATAGAGTAAAAATATTACTAGTAAGATAAAATTTCTTTTATAAAATATATGAAGTTAATTATAAGTAAAAAATTTACTTGTGTAAAAGTTATTTAAAAGTATAAAATTAAGTTATAGCTATAAAATTTACTTATAAGTAAAATATACTTCTAACTTAAAATTTTAGTTATGAATAAATAGTTAACTTTTAAGCTGGAAATTAACTCGTCTAAAAAATATCGCTTATGAGAAAAAATTCATATAAGAACTTACAAATCGAAAATTCACTAAGCCATGTTTGATACATGTTTTCCATGAATATTTTCCATTTTTCAACTTTTTGTGTGTTTGATGATCAAAAATTTCCATAGAATTCCTTTTCTTGCTTCTCCCCACACGCCCCAGTTTTCCTCCTTCTCATGGAATTCATTTTCTCATGGTTTGTGTGGAAAATGATTTTCCAACTCGCGTTTTTTTTTTTTTATTTTGGTAATTGGAAAAAATTCTAGACATAATGGTAAAATTTTTTATCACTTTTATTGACAATTTTTATGTAAAACAAAGTCAAACGAATGATATTCAATATGGTAATTTTTGTTTTTTTTTTGCAATTGAAACAAATTTCAGACCCAATGGTAAAAAAAAATTATGAGTTTTATAGACAACTTTCATGAAAAATAAAGTCAAATGGATACCAAACTTTCAACATTTTTCAAATGAAAAATTATACCAATCAAACACAATTAATTGATAATTTCCAATAAAATGAATTCTAGGCAATTCAATTCCTTAGAATTCATTTTCGTTCCACCCAAATTCGTTTGGTTTCGTTTTCTATGGAAATTGTCCATTAAAGAGGAAAAAAATTTTACAATTGGGGGATATAATTTGTTTTCAATGCCACAAAAAAAAACAAAAAGATAGAAAACAATTTTCCCGTCAAAACCATAGGAAAATGAATTCCTCAAAAATCAAGAATTGGGCACGTGTGAGGCATGAGGTGAAAATTGAATTGCCAGAACATTTGGCCAATCAAACATGAAATTTGGGTGGAACGTGGAATTTTTTTTCCATTTTCGATGGAACTTTTCCTCAATCAAACGGGGCCTAAGAGTTGTATATTTAATTTTATTCTTTTAAAAAACTTTTGGATAATAACCTCCCAAGAATGTATTGACTTGTTTTACAAATTGCTATTTAAAACCACCCAAAATCAAACCCATCATAGACGTCCAGAATTTATATTTTTAAAAATGACTATAACTTGTACTCCAAAAGCCACCAGGTAGACCCTCAATCTGCAGTATAAAATTTTTAGATTTGATGAGTTAATCCTTATTGAATTATTGATCGAGTGTTAACTCGTCAAATTATATTGAAAATAGTTACTAGAAGGACAGTCTTGTCAAAGTAATATTAGAAATCGTCACAATCATGAAATTCCCAAGTCCGAACTTGATGGGTTAAAACTTAAAAGCACGTTCGAAAATAAAAGCATGTTCGAAAATATTTGTAAACGACATAAATTATAAATAAATAGAAATAAGCTGCAAATAAGTGAATTTTACTTTAGGTTTTTCAAAATCACTCATTTCTTTGCTACTGCTGCCACCGTATTCATATAGCACTTAAATTTCATGTGCAAAACAAATCTATTCTTTCATCTAATAAATTAGTATAATCTTTAATTTTTTATTTATATTCTGCAATTAGTCTTTTATATTCTTCAGATGGTCTATTTCTATCTTTTAGTTGAGATTTAATATTTTTTATCTTTTCTAACACTCTTTTTATCAAATTATCCAATCCTTTAACTGTATATCCTGGCATTTTTA